AATCCATACCAGACCCGAAGGGCTTGGTATGGATGGGAGGGCGGACCCCACACCGTTTTTTTTATTTATTATGGTGCTGGTTTTTAATGTAATTACCGCTTTTTTTTTCTTCATTATAGCTTAGAAATTCAGCTGTCACTTTCTCCCCCAGCTAAAAGAGAGACATTTTTCTTTTAGTTTATTTCCCCAAGTTAAAAGAAACAATGTTTTTGTCACGTACCTGATTGGAGACTGAAATGACGAGGTCGGTGTCACTAGCCCTGACCCCACTGGAAGTGGAACAGAGGGTGTCTAGGGACCAGGAGGACAAGAGTGCCAGCAGATGTTGTTTGCAGCTCTTGCAGTTGGAGACTTTGGAAGACTGATCAACCTCCGATTCTTGCACAGTAGTAATATTCAGAGCTGGTATGGTAGATCGCCAGGTGTGCACCAGAGCAAGGCAGGAAGCCGGGATAGGAGACAGGAGCAGTGTCAAAGGAATAGCCAGGGTCATCAATGGGCGGACAGCGAGGTACCAAATCATAAGCAAGCTAAAGTCAGGAGCAGAGCCGAAGTCAGGAACCAGTATTAAGCAGGAGAGGAATCAGAGTCAGGTCAGGAACAAGCCGAGTCAGCAACAAGGAAATCACACACAGGAACGAGCAGGAAACAGGGAATAGCTGAAGACCAGTCAGCACTCAGCACAGGCAGAGGCACCTCTTAAATAGTTCATCTGGCGCTAATCTTCACCGTGCGTGTGCACATGCGTGATCGTGCATTTCTGTGCACCTGCGCACGTCTATTCACCAGCCGTCTCACGGGAATTCCCTTACATTGCCCCCCCTTAGGGGCAGCCTCCGGATGCCTACTAAAGCTTGTTTTTTGCAATGAAGATGAAGGTAAGCCTGCACTAACCATGGAGCATGGACATTAGCGGATGGTTCCCAGGAATTATCCTCTGGACCGTAGCCTTTCCATTTAATGAGGAACTGGGTCTGACCACCCCTCTTTTCTACAGTCCAGGATGGCTTCTACTTCATATTCCTCATTACCTTCAAAAAGCTGTGGAGCAGGAGATTCTGGATCTCGATCCAGAAATAGACTTGGAACTGTTGGTTTTAATAAAGAGACATGGAATACCAGATGGATCTTCATATTCTTTGGTAACACTAATTCAAAAGCTACAGGATTAATCTTTCTTTTGATCGTAAATGGTCCCAGGTACCTTGGACCAAGCTTCTTTGAAGAGCAGCTCAATTTCAAGTTTGGTGTGGATAGCCAGACCTTATCTCCTGGTTTCATATTCAGATTCCCCCTTCTTTTTCTGTCAAAAAATCTCTTGTTATTTGCCTGAGCCTCCAAAATAGTTTCTCGTAATATTTGACCATTCCTATTGAGGAAATCCAGCCTTTCTTGTACTGCCAGGACAGCGGGTTCCCCCAGCATTTCAGGGAGGACGGAAGGATGGTATCCATAGTTAGCATAAAAAGGGGACTGTTTGGTAGCAGAGTGGAATTGGAATTGTTATATGCAAATTCTGCCAATGGAAGGAGAGACACCCAGTCATCCTGTGAGTAAGAAGAGAAACATCGTAGATACCGTTCAAGGGTCTGGTTTGTCCTCTCAGTTTGCCCATTCATTTGTGGATGATATGCAGAAGAAAAGCGAAGTTCGATCTCTAGTTCTTCACACAGAGCTTTTCAGAACTTAGAAGTGAACTGCACTCCCCGATTGGATACGATATTGCTGGGAATACCATGTAACCTCACAATCTCTTTAATGAAAGCAGAGGCAGTCTCAGCAGCAGAAGGAGTCCCTCTCAGGGGTATGAAATGGGCCATCTTTGACAGACGATCAACCACAACAAAGATGGTGGTCAACCCTTCAGATAGGGGAAGCTCTACAATAAAGTCCAGAGAAATCATACTCCGTGGTTTTTCAGGTACTGAAAGGGATTCCAATAGGCCCCAGGTCTTGGCTCTATTAGACTTGTTTCGGAGGCATACTGAGCAAGATCAAACTTAGTTTTTACAATCTTTCATTAAGTTTGGCCACCAGAAGGAACGGGAGCCCAAATTTGAGGTCTTGTGGATCCCGAAGTGACCCGCTAAAGGATGGTCATGGCATCTTTTAAGAATGAGAGTCCTGAGTTGTTCCGGTATATAAATCTGTTCTTTATGCAGATACAGGCCATCCCTTAGCTGAAGATGCATTTCCAAGGGGGGTGGATGCTCATCAACCGCTTCCTTTATTTGTGATACAAGGTCTGCTTGCAGGAGTAAAAAGTTTTTAGCTGGCAGGATCGTGTCAGGCTCAGATGGTACTATTGGGTCATGAAACATGCGTGAGAGTGCATCGGGTTTGCCGTTCTTTGATCTGGACGGTATGTCAAGTGAAACACAAAGCGGGAGAAGAAAAGTGCCCATCTTGCCTGCCGTGGCCTTAGGCGTTTTGCAGTTCTCAAGTATTCCAGATTTCTGTGATCCGTAAAAATGAGGATAGGGTGTGAAGCTCCCTCCAACAAGTAGCGCCATTCCTCGAGGGCCGCCTCGATGGCTAACAACAACCTTTCTCCTACGTCATAGTTCCTTTCAAGGGAGCTTAACTTTCTAGAGAAGAAGGCAACAGGGTGAAGGAGGGACTTGGGTCCCTGTCGTTGAGACAATATAGCTCCAATAGCATTTTCAGAAGCATCTACTTCGAGAACATAAGCTAAAACAGAATCTGGGTGCTTCAGGATAGGAGCAGAGATGAATAAGGTCTTTAGTTGCTGCTTGAGCCTCGGGAGTCCATTTGAAAGCAACATGTTGCCTGGTTAACTGCGTGACTGGTGCAATGATACCGGAAAAGTTCTTAATGAATTTCCTGTAGAAATTAGCAAATCCCACAAAGCGTTGTTCCGCTTTCCTGTCTCCTGGGACGGGCCACTCTAATACAGAGGTCACTTTTTGAGGATCCATAGTAATGCCATCGGGAGTAATCACACGTCTGAGGAACTGAATGGTCTGTTTCTCAAATTCGCACTTTTCAGCTTTGGCATAGAGGTGATGTTGGCGTAACCTACCCAGTATCTTCTTCACAAGGTCCCGGTGTTGTTCTATTGAGCTTAAGAAGACTAGGATGTCATCCAAATAAACAATGATAAATAAATAGATAGTCACGGAATATATCATTAACAAAATGTTGGAATTTTGCTGGGGCATTACAAAGGCCAAATGGCATAACCAGGTATTCAAAGTGCCCAAAGCATGTTCGAAAGGCTGTCTTCCATTCACCCCCTTCCCGAATTCTTACTAAATTGTATGCACCTCTTAGATCTAGTTTTGAAAAGACACATGCCCCTCGTAGCCTTTGGAAAAATTCAGGAATCAGAGGAAGAGGATAGCGGTTCTTGACTGTTATCTTATTTAGATCACGATAGTCCACACATGGTCTAAGAGTATGATCTTTCTTTTCGACAAAGAAGATGCCAGCTTCCGCTGGTGATTTAGAGGACCGAATAGTCCACACATGGTCTAAGAGTATGATCTTTCTTTTCAACAAAGAAGATGCCAGCTCCCGCTGGTAATTTAGAGGACCGAATAAACCCTTTTTCCAGGCTTTCATCTATATAATGCCAGAGGACCTCTAGTTCCAATTCGGACAGAGGGTAAATTCGCCCAAAAGGGATCCCAGCACGGGGTAGGAGTTCAATAGGACAATCGTAGGGCCGGTGCGGGGGAAGAGCATTGGCACTCTTGTTGTTGAACACATCCAAGTAATCATGGTAGACAGCAGGGACAAGTTTCATCATCTCTGAATCAGGATGGATGCTAAGAAGAGGAGTCACTGTGCATGGTTCCTTCGGAATGCAATGGTTCTGACAGTATTTGGAAGAAAAGAGGATTTCCCCGGAGAGCCAGTTAATGGATGGGTTGTGCGCCCTTAGCCAGGGCATGCCGAGGATGACCGGAAACATTGGTGAGGTTATGACATCCAGACGTAGAAGTTCCTGATGTCCTGAGGATGAGTGGCAGAAGATTGGCATAGTCTGTTGCGTCACTGGGCCAGAACTGATACCAGAGCCATCAGCCAGATGGACCGAAAATCTTTGTTTCTTGGTACAGAGAGGGATATTGTATTGATGAGCAAATGTAGAATCCATGAAACAGCTACAGGCACCAGAGTCTATAATTGCTAAAACATAAATAGTTCTTCCAGCAAGTTGCAAGTGAAGAAGGAAGGGGAGGTGCGTTTGACTTGTTCCTTGTGTGTGCATCATATGGAACAAGCTAGGAGAGGGCTTAGGATGTCTCACTGGACATGTCAGTACATAGTGACCCGCATCACCACAGTAGAGGCAGAGGTTGGAGTCTTGTCGTCGAAGACGTTCAGCAGAGGATAATGGTGGTCTCCAAAAGCTCCTATGAGAAGAATTATGAAGCCCCCTTTTGCTGGAGAGTATGTCTGATGCGACAGCAGTGGGTGAGGGGACAGGAGTCTCTATATTTCAGAGCAGATCAAGACGTCCCTGCTAGTTCTTTCGCCCTGCCTTTCCCGGAGCCGTTGGTCAATTTGAATGGTTAGGTTTATCAGGTCCTCTAGCCTGGTTGGTACCCCAACTCGGGCAAGCTCATCTTTCAAGATGTAAGAGAGACCAAGGCGAAACTGATGGTGGAGAGCAGACTCGTTTTACTGAGTGTCGGAACTCCATATACGGAACTCGGTGACATATTCCTCTATATTCCTTTGGCCTTGCTGTAGTTTGCTAAGCATAGATTCCGCAGTCTGACGATGGAAGGAATCAGTGTAAAGTTGTGACATCGCTGAGAAAAAAGTCCGTAGAAGTCAGAGCCGGATCATGTTGCTCACTAATTTGGTGTGCCCAGGATTGGGGTTCATTCTGAAGGAGTGAAATAATGAATCCCACTCTGGTGCTTTGTGATGCAAAGGTTCTTGGTAGCAGAGAAAAATATAGCTCACAGGAGTTGGAACCGGGGATCCAGTGGAGGAGAAGTTCCATGAATCATGCTGAGCTTTGTCTGGGTAGTTATGTCTGAAGCTGCAGAAGGACCCATGGCTGTTGAAACATCTGACTTGGTTGGTAGTTGGTTTTCCATGTGCTCAAGGTTTTTTTGCAAACTCTGCACCATATACTCATTCACCTTTCCAACCGCTCCATTTCCGCCACCCCCCTCTGCCAATCCCTCCACTGACTTCCGATTGCGCAAAGGATCAAATTCAAAATCCTAACACTGACGTACAAAGCTGTCCACCATTCTGCCCCGAACTACATCACTGACCTAATATCCAAATACTGCCCAGCACGCACACTCTGCTCTTCACAAGACCTCCTTCTCTCTAGTTCCCTGGTCTCCTCCTCCCATGCCCGCCTCCAGGACTTCTCCAGGGTGTCACCCATCCTCTGGAACTCCCTGCCCCAACCCATCAGATAATCACCTATTCTCCTCTCCTTTAGGCGCACCCTGAAAACCCATCTCTTCAGGGAAGCCTACCCCACCCCCTGCTAACTTGCCGACCTCCTCCACTCTTCCTACCACTCCATCCCCCACAGCTATCTCCTCCTGTACCACTATCCCCTCCCTCCTAGATTGTAAGCTCGAAAGAGCAGGGCCCTCAATCCCCTCATGTTTTGCATTGTATTGGTTTTGTTCTGTCACATGTTCTGTCCCCCTTTGTAATGTACAGCGCTGAGCGAACTATTGGCGCTTTATAAATACTGTATAATAATATAAGACAAGGCATAGACTGATTGACAGATGTCCCCCATTGCAGAGGCCTCCCTTTCAGACTCCATCACTGGCTGACTGGTACTATCACGTACCTGATTGGAGACTGAAATGACAAGGTCGGCCTCACTTATGTCACTAGCCCTGACCCCACTGGAAGTGGAACAGAGGGTGTCTAGGGACCAGGGGGACAAGAACGCCAGTTGATGTTGTTTGCAGCTCTTGCAGTTGGAGACTTTGGAAGACTGATGAACCTCCGATTCAGGCACAATAGTAATATGCAGAGCTGGTATGGTAGATCGCCAGGTGTGCACCAGAGCAAGGCAGGAAGCCAGTATAGGAGACAGGAGCAGTGTCATAGGAATAGCCAGGGTCATCAATGGACGGACAGCGAGATACCAAATCATAAGCAAGCCAAAGTCAGGAGCAGAGCAACAAGGAAATCACACACAGGAACAAGCAGGAAACAGGGAACAGCTGAAGACCAGTCAGCACAAAGCACAGGCAGAGGCACCTCTTAAATAGTCCGTCTGGCGCCAATCTTCACCCTGCATGTGCACGTGTGTGTGTGTGATCGTGCATTTCTGTGCACATGAGCACGTCTCTTCACCAGCCGTCTCACGGGAATTCCATTACAGTTTCCTTTTAGTTTCTTAAAAGAAACAAAGTTTCCTGTAACTCCGGGGAAAGTGACAGCTAATCTTGTGAGCTATAGTGAAGAAAAAAAAAAAAGCCGACAATTGCATTTAAAAATCAGCACCAACATACACTTCGTATTGCAAAAAAAATTAGTAAAAAACCGAGGAGTTATTTTCAATGGATTTTCATTCGTAAACTGAAAATTACGCTAACCAAGGCATTCGTAAACCGAGGTACCATTGTATACTGTAAATACATTTTAAAAACTTCCCACAATGTAAATCCAATCTCAGTCACATCCTTCAGAGATATTGATGCAGACATAGGTTAGAGATGAGAACCGTCATTTAGCAACAGTAGTTTTTGTTTTTTTTATTTTAAATGTCACTTTTGCAGGAGTACATCCTACAGGTGTGTCACTTAATATGTAGATTTATGACACCTTCCAAGCATGTTATGTAAATGCATGTTAAGGTACGTTATGTGGATTGATAAGCTGGAGAGCCATTTATTTTGAGTGGCAATGCACTAAGGCAACATACAGTCAGGTCCATAAATATTGGGACATCGACACAATTCTAACAGTTTGGGCTCTATACACCACCACAATGGATTTGAAATGAAATGAACAAGATGAGCTTTAACTGCAGACTGTCAGCTTTAATTTGAGGGTATTTACATCCAAATCAGGTGAACGGTGTAGGAATTACAACAGTTTACATATGTGCCTCCCACTTGTTAAGGGACCAAAAGTAATGGGACAGAATAATAATCATAAATCAAACTTTCACTTTTTAATACTTGGTTGCAAATCCTTTGCAGTCAATTACAGCCTGAAGTGTGGAATGCATAGACATCACCAGACGCTGGGTTTCATCCCTGGTGATGCTCTGCCAGGCCTCTACTGCAACTGTCTTCAGTTCCTGCTTGTTCTTGGGGCATTTTCCCTTCAGTTTTGTCTTCAGCAAGTGAAATGCATGCTCAAAATCAGATTCAGGTCAGGTGATTGACTTGGCCATTGCATAACATTCCACTTCTTTCCCTTAAAAAACTCTTTGGTTGCTTTTGCAGTATGCTTTGGGTCATTGTCCATCTGCACTGTGAAGCGGCGTCCAATGAGTTGTGAAGCATTTGTGTGAATATGAGCAGATAATATTCCCGAAACACTTCAGAATTCATCCTGCTGCTTTTGTCAGCAGTCACATCATCAATAAATACAAGAGAACCAGTTCCATTGGCAGCCATACATGCCCACGCCATGACACTACCACCACCATGCTTCACTGGTGAGGTGGTATGCTTAGGATCATGAGCAGTTCCTTTCCTTCTCCATACTCTTCCCATCACTCTGGTACAAGTTGATCTCGGTCTCATCTGTCCATAGGATGTTGTTCCAGAACTGTGAAGGCTTTTTTAGATGTCGTTTGGCAAACTCTAATCTGGCCTTCCTGTTTTTGAGGCTCACCAATGGTTTCCATCTTGTGGTGAACCCTCTGTATTCCCTCTGGTGAAGTCTTCTCTTGATTGTTGACTTTGACACACATACACCTACCTCCTGGAGAGTGTTCTTGATCTGGCCAACTGTTGTGAAGGGTGTTTTCTTCACCAGGGAAAGAATTCTTCAGTCATCCACCACAGTTGTTTTCCGTGGTCTTCCAGGTGTTTTGGTGTTGCTGAGCTCACCGGTGCGTTCCTTCTTTTTAAGAATGTTCCAAACAGTTGTTTTGGCCACGCCTAATGTTTTTGCTATCTCTCTGATGGGTTTGTTTTGTTTTTTCAGCCTAATGATGGCTTGCTTCACTGATAGTGACAGCTCTTTGGATCTCATCTTGAGTGTTGACAGCAACAGATTCCAAATGCAAATAGCACACTTGAAATGAACTCTGGACCTTTTATCTGCTCATTGTAATTGGGATAATGAGGGAATAACACACACCTGGCCATGGAACAGCTGAGAAGCCAATTGTCCCATTACTTTTGGTCCCTTAACAAGTGGGAGGCACATATGCAAACTGTTGTAATTCCTACACCGTTCCCCTGATTTGGATGTAAATACCCTCAAATTAAAGCTGACAGTCTGCAGTTAAAGCACATGTTGTTTGTTTCATTTCAAATCCATTGTGGTGGTGTATAGAGCCAAAACTGTTAGAATTGTGTTGATGTCCCAATATTTATGGACCTGACTGTACGTACACTAAGGTGCGTTGTGTTCCTGAAAAGATTCAGGTGAGATTTTGCTTGCAATGGCATTAGTAACAACAGGCTGCCTTAAGGCAACACATTTTATTGCTCATGCACTAACACCCAAGAACAGTGTGGAATGAGTATAGTGTAAGGACTCAGAACTATTAAAACCAAAAAAAAAAAAAAGTAATATCTTTCTAAATTAGAATGCATGCACCTATCTCCCATAAAAGGGTTTTTTTTATACCTTTAGTGGGTAGTGCCATGTAAATCACTCCTTTATGCCACTGACAGTGCATCTAGAATTGCTGGTTTACAGAATAGATACAGCTAAAAGGACAAGTCCAAATTTACTTACTAAATATTACTAACCTACCCCCCTCGCCCTTACTTACCTTTGTTGCACAGCTGCGGCCTGATCCAGTGTTTGCATCCTCTGCTAAGAAATTGTCTTCAGTACTGGCCACTGCTCACTGGGTTCCTATTGACATGAATGAGGCGGTACAGTGCCTTGAAAAAGTATTCATACCACTTGAAAGTTTCCACTTTTTGTTTGTTAGAAACAAAAACATAAATGTATTTTATTGCCAATTTATGTGATAGACCAACACAAAGTGGTACATAATTGTGAATTCGAAGGAAACTGATAACTGGTTTTCAACATTTTATACAAATAAACATCTGAAAAGTGTGGCGTGCATTTGTATTCAGCCCCTTTTACTCTGATACCCCTGACTAAAATCTAGTGGAACCAATTGCCTTCAGAAATCACCTAATTAGTAATAGAGTCCATCTGTATATAATTTAATCCCAGTATAAATACAGCTGTTCTGTGAAGCCCTCAGAGGTTTTTTTTTTAGAGAACATTAGTGAACAAACAGTAACATGAAAGGCAAGTAACACACCAGGATGGTCAGGGATAAAGTTGTGGAGAAGTTTAAAGCAGGGTTAGGTTATAAAAAAATATCCCAAGCTTTGAACATCTCACAGAGCACTGTTCAATCCGTCATTCGAAAATGGAAAGAGTATGGCACAAACCTACCAAGACATGGCCCATGGTAACTCTGAAGGAGCTGCAGAGATCCACTGCTCAGGTGGGTGAATCTGTTTACAGGACAACTATTAGTCGTGCACTCCACAAATCTGGCCTTTATGGAAGAGTGGCAAGAAGAAGGCCATTGTTGAAAGAAAGCCATAAGAACTCCCGTTTGCAGTTTGCGAGAAGCCGTGTGGGGGGACACAGCAAACATGTGGAAAAAGGTGCTGTGGTCAGATGAGACCAAAATTGAACTTGCAGTTGCAAGTTGCATTGTATATTGAGGATTTCCAGCTTCTGTAAATGGCCCCATTCAGATGAAATAGGAGTGCACAAGTGCAGACAGCACTAAAAAGCATTTTATCACTAAGGATGTAAACACCAGACTGGGCTGTGGCTGTGCAATGGATGTAAGGAGTTTAGGCCAAGTTTAGTTTATGAGGGTTTTGGAAGTGGGTTAGAGTTTAAGTAATCCTGGACTTGTCCTTTACTTTTCCTACTTGCATACACCTGTTTCTGCTACACTAGTATAATTTTTTGTCCGCCTATCATGAGCCCACATATGTACAGCCTTTATCTAGGAAATCAGATGACAGCCTTCAATGGATAGCATAATACAGGTAGTCTTCTAAAAATAATGTCACCATACATTGTTGATTGAAATTAATTTGGTGCAAATAACACTTAAACAATAGGTAAAACAACAATAGCTTTGAGAATGGGGCTAGGGCATTGTAGCCTGAAATTAAAAGTCACGATGATGAGAAGTATAACATATCAAACTGAACACCTAAATACATTGCCAAGAAAAAAATTCAAGCATATAAAATCTGTACAAGGAGTGTTTTTGAAAAAAAAGTTAAATGTAAATTGACAACGTTGTGTAAAAAAAGTTTTCATTTTCCAGAAACTTGTGGCAAAGTGTTTTCTTTCAAAAATGTGGTCATTTTGTGGGTGTTTCATTGTCTTGGTGCTCCAGGGTATTCAAAACTATGATAGGTAGTCAGGAGATAAACTGTATAATTTTATGCGTAATGTACTGTATGCTCCTTGAAAGCCCAAAGGTGCTTCTTGGATTTTTGGGCCTTCTATGTGGTTGGCTGTGTGGTATCCCCTTACTTGGTAGAAGTAGCAGAATTTGTGTTTGGATGTAATTGCAAGTATGCCTATGTCGTGTGTGAGAAATAAGCTGTTATAATTACAATTTTGTGGAAAAAATTTTTTTATTTTTTTTTTATATTTTTGCAAGGAATTGTTGGGAAAAATTACAACTTCAAAAAATTCACCATGCCTCTTGCTAAATCCCGTGGGATGTCTACTTTCCATAAAGGGGTGATTTGGGGGTACCTGTACTGTCCTGGCATTTTAGGACCTCTGGAAATGAGACAGGCTGTCAGAACAACAGGATTGATCAATTTTCATATATATGTACCATAGTTTGTAAACTCTATAACTTTCTCACAGACTAAATATTATACACTGATTAGGGTTATTTTTACCAAAGAAATGTAGTAT